AGTGCAGTACAGTACTAGCGCAGTTTCATTTATTCTATCATACATGTGGTGTTGTTCTCTTCCTACTATCGTGTCATCGTGCAGCTGACTTCAAATCAGGTGCTTTTCACTTGCAAGGTTTTCAGTTAGTTTTCAATCCGGCTGTGAAAAAAACACTTCTCATATATAATATAAAAGCTGTAAAACGACGGAGAGGCACCCTTGTATGCCTACATCTATAAGTATCGGAATGAACTAGAAAGAATGTGTGTTTTAGATTTCTGCCAACAACGTATGTGCTACTGATCATGGCAGAGCAGCAGAACGAGAATCGAAAAGGTAAATAGCAGGCAACACCAGCAGCTTTCGATCATGCCACTTTCTTTTTCGATCAATAGTATTGCACGTTCCAGATTTTATCTTGTACATCAATAGAAATGAGACCGCTAAAGGCTGATAGTGTCAGCTTCGCTGGTACCCGACACGTAATCATATCACATTGCTACCAACCAGCGCACGCTTGTTGTTAGCTTGGCAACACACGTAAACAATTTGCACCAAATCCAAGGAATGTACGAGCGTCGTACGATCCGCGAATAAACTCATAAAAGTACATACGTTTTGACAACGCCGAAATGTGTTGGCTAGTGCGAGGTTCACATTAGGCGATGAGGAATAACGATGTTGAAAACAAACACAGTGCAGATAAAAAAATCTTCCGTAGGCACTACGTGATGTTTCGGGCGTCGTTTACAGTGCCTACGTTTTGATGGAAACTACCGTCGATTATTTTTCAGCCGATGTTCCTCAAATGAGCTGCTTCATACGAACTTGACGGTAGAGGCGTATATTCTGGATGCAGATGACACCACTTTGAATTGCTTCTGTGATAGGCGAGGGCTCACGCTCAAAGCTTCGGACCTCCGAAGCCTGTTTACATTCGTTTTTAACACAGAAAATCACAGATCAAAGCGCAGAAACACGGACATGCTGCAGTAGTGTGTACGATGTTTTTGCTTGGCCGACGATCGCACTCAGTACCGGCGCAAGTGCAGTCAGCCGGCATTTGTCGGCGTCCCTCGAACTCGGTACGAAACTGACTTGGTGGTAGCACTCGCTATCGTCGACGTGTCGTTGTCGTTCTAGATGACAAATTGGTCATTCAGTAACGTTTGAAGTAGTTTCTGTGCTTGGTCCCGGCACTCGGCTGTGCCTTCGAAGTAGCAGCCATTAGGCACAGCATTCGGAGGTGTCGCGGCTTCTGGTTGGTTGACACCAGTGTACGCGTATTGACGTAGACAAAAATATCAAGCCCGCCTTGACCCCTCGCGCCTCGTCGCGTATGCCCCTCCGACGCCGACGCCGAGAGGCGCATTTGACGCTTAGGAGCGAGCATACGAATGCAGTGGTTGGCACTCAGGCGTTAGGGCCCGCTGCGGCGTATCTACACATGGTTCTCTTCACCTGGACACGGTGTAATATTTTTAGTTTCTTTCGCTTTCTTTGTTCAGTGTGCGCTGCCAACTCGGCGCTGTGTTAAGCAGCAGTACAGTAGACGAAGCTGTTTGTTCGTAAAAGTAGGTGGATAGTCGCACTCGTATTCCGGTTGATCGCGGGCCCTCGTATGCTGCTAATGTGCGAGCTTTTGTACTACGCTCGTGAGCATACGGTGATGTGCGCCTCCATCGCACTTTAGGAATTTATTTAATAATTATTTATAGGGTGTCTGCCGACTTCAGATTGAGGCATGAGCTGGAGTGGGTAGTAATAAAGTGTAGTAATAGTAATAATAAAATAGTTGTTGAAAAAACAGGTCACTGACCAATGTCAAATAAAAACAAAAACGTTTCGATGAACGAAGCCTGCAGGAGGAGCTCCGGACCATTGAAGATGACCTGATCAGGAATGGATACCCCAAGATTTTTATTAGGAAAACAACTAAATCCGTCATGCATAAACTGCAGTAAACTAGTCAAGCCATGCATAACACAACGTCTACAAAAAAGCGTGCATCGATTCCTTATATTCGAAATATAAGCAAAGCCCTAGCCCGTCTATTCAGAAAACGTGGTGTACAGATCGCGCATGTTCCAGCAAGCAAGCTTAAGGCTGAGTTGCTAAATGTGAAGGATCCTCTCCCTCGGCAACACTTTCCTGGTGTAGTCTACAAGATACCATGCGCCGATTGCGAATCGGTGTACATTGGCACGAGTGGAAATTACTGCAGACGTCTGATGCAACACAAGAGTGACGTCGCCAAGGGCCACACAGTGACAAATGCACTCGCAGAGCATGCGGAGAAGACGGGCCACGAGATAAGCTGGGACAACGCACGCATCATGGCCACGGAGAAGAATTTTACAACCAGACTGAACCTCGAATCACTAATCATTCAGACGACAAGTAACACAATCAAATAGATCATCTGGCACACTAAACCACGTATACTACCGGACTTTGCGTCATGCGCTCAACGTTACATAAGAACCTGTTGCTCAGCTGTCATCCCATTGTAAACAAGGGATCCGTACGGATCCCGAAACGTCTTCGTTTTTATTTGACATTCGTCAGTGACGCCTTTACCTGACCAAACGGCATTCCGTCGAAATCTCGACTAATAATAAAATAGTAATAAAATATTATATATATACATATATATACATATATATATATATATATATATATATATATATATATATATATATATATATATATTACAAGGGTCCCACAAAAAAGCAATGAAAATCAACATAATGCGCTCTTTGCATGCTAAAACAATAAGCGCAATATTTTCAAAGATATAGGTGGACGAATGCACATGTTTATAGAACTTAAAGAACCTGAACGACAATGCTAAATGCATGTTTTAGTTAATGACCACAAGTCAATATAAACAATCACTGTGAAATAAAACAGCATTACCCGGACCGCTCTCTTTGTATATACAGCTCACATGCTCAATCTGTAGTTTTGTTTCGTTGGCGGTACGTCACTCATGCTACATTTATATGCCTTGTTCACTTCATAGATACTACGACACATGCTATTGAGATGGTGTGTACACATATCTGTGGCTAACTAAATAAGCAAATTAAAGGAGCGCAGTGTTACGCAGGTCGCGAAAAACCAACTTGGTGTCAACATTTCACGCATGTGAAGCACGTGTATGAAATAGCAATGGGAAATGTACAGGAGATGTATTTCAGTGAAAGGGTATCTTAGAAGTTTGACAGACGCCTCCTCATGCGTTCAATGCGCTTTTTGAACGCTTATCTCTAATTGAAAGCGCACAACACAAGCTCACATTACTCCGGTCTCGCGACATTACTCGGTGTTGCTGCACCAAGTCGGTGGCACGCAGAAAAGACTCCCATGTATCTTCTGTGCGCGAAGCGTCTGCGTATGTACGCCATATGTATGATGGTGGTTGCTGTGAGCAGTATCTAGTTTGGTGTCACGAGGTGTGGGTATACCTTGCTATAAATGCAAGTGTTGGGAAAGGCGCCCGTCTGAAGCTTGCGCCACAGGACGGCATCACGTCGGGGGAAGTCTTTATAAGCTGGATGATAGTTCTTAAGAATGTCTGTGAAAGTAACTAAAGGAGTTAGTTCTTGGCAGGCCTGGGAGGACGAATAATGGAAAGTGTAAGGCGTAAGGATCTCCGCCCGGTAGTTGAGAACTCGGGCAAAAGTGTGTCTTTGCGCATTTCCACCCACATTGGACGCCACGGTGTCTCAAGAGATTCCAGCTGACCTCCTTTAGGCAGTGTAACCGACCTCTAGTCTGGTCCCCTCTTTCTGGGAGAATTGAAGTTTTAATCATCACTGCCGGTTGCGTGAAGTGGCGCGCTGTGCCAGCTGCTGTCCGGGTAAGCTTTTGAGTGATCAGATCTTTCATAATGCGTTCTCGTCAACATTTGGCAACTCATTGAGGTGCAATCACCTTGCGGCGCTGGACCACGAAAGAACCAGCCGCATTTTCTTAGTCCGAGAGTACCACCAACGACTGAAGCTCAGCCTCTCCGAGGCCTCTCGTTGTAGAGGCGCTAGCAGTCGCAACCGTGACGGCGCCCAACAAAAGATGGCAAAGGCGCGTGATGTTGCAGCACGAAGCATTGTGAATTTCCCCTATCACAGTCGCTTCACTATGAGTAAGTTTCAGTTTCGGTTTGGGAAAACTCTGAGATTGGCAAGCCGTTGTGTGAAACTATTGGAATCTTTCATATTAAGTAGCCCACAAACTTGCGGCGTGCTTTCGCGCTGCCTGCACCGTCTTCTCGCGTTCTGTGAGAAGCGGCATGTTCACGACGATGTTGCCATTGTCGTAATCTTCACCCGATGGCACAGTCTTTCCCAATACTTTCTACACAGTTTGACTGCCACTGAGCAGCAGTTTCATAGTACACCTGCAGCTGAAAGCGGGGTGGAAGCGCAATGGTGGCTGTGACATCATCTTTTCATGAGAATCTCAGACTTCGACTGTAGGGGTGAAAAAGCACACGTTTCGGATAATTTGCAGCTTCATTCTTATGGTGTCAGTATCGCAAGATTTGGCGTGTAACGCTCTATCGGTATCGCTGAATTTGACGTTCAAATGTACTGCATTCCAAGCTGTATTTGCTGCTTAGATTTTGGTGATGATGTTAGTATACTTACGAGAATCAATCCCATAGGCTGGCTTGTTAGGGAAATTTTGTGTCAGTTCTCATTTAAGTGCTCCATCCCAAGAGATATTCAGAAACGGGAATGTGTGACAAATGACGCTGTTCAATCAGATCCTGGCTTTTTATGTCTGTGTTGAAAGTACCGTAATATGTTTTTGCTTCGTATGGTGTGAAGTCCACTGTAGTTTTTGTAGTAATGTGTTAACGCTCGTTGCATATTTACTACTGTTGTAAACATGCAACACTTCAGCTTGGTATAAATTCTTGTCTGACACAACAGTAGCAATTACTAAAAAGGCAGATGTAACCAAGAAACTTATACCTTTTAACTAAAGTAAATGAAGAAAGCCATACTCACTCACTGATAACAAGAGCCATCCTGGTCATCCTAACGAAGGCCGACAAATACGCAACCAAGTGACTAAATTTGGCGGCCGTTATCAGGGCAGTGTAGTTGACGTGCAGTTGCTCGGTGCCGAGGTCTATGCTAGCGCTGAAGGTGCCATTTTCTGCCCTAATTAGGTTTGTGCCTGTCTGTCTGATTGAGCTGAGGCCTGACACTGATCCTTCAAGCAGTAAAACTCTGCCGAAAAGGGAGAAGTCCAGGACTTGGTTAGGTAAAGCCATGGGATCCAGTTTCAAGTACTTCGTTCCCAGCCGCAGAACTCTTGTGAATGTATTCGTATACGATTCAGCTGTGGTTCCTGGAAATCGGAATCATAAGGATTGAGTGTTAATATTGCCCCAGTATAGCTAGCCATGCATTACTCAAGACAACCCAATAAATCGTATAATATAGTCGCGCTAGTATACCGCATACGAAGGAAATAGATTGTTAGTTGCAACTACTACGCGAAACACTGCATGATTCAGTCATAAGCACTAGATGTTCACACCTCTTCCGTGTTAAGACACGCCCGCAAGTGTCCCGATATAAGGTAGAATAAACATTCCAGTGCGACCAGGCTCATCCTCGGTGTAAAGAAGAATCAAAAATGGCAGTTCTACTAGGCCCGTGCTCTTCATTCACGAGTGGGCGACTTATTTATTTCATGTAGCCATCGCTTCCAGCCAACCTCTGAGCCCTATCCAACAGGCGGAGCTAGTCGTCGAGGTTCCCTGACGTAAGCAACTTCTCCCTCCTGCCTGCCCGATTTTCTTGGATGCTCCCTTCGTCTATGAGCAGGGTACATGGCTTCTTTTGAAATCACCATAATCATCCGGCTGCTGAGCCGATGGTCTGAGGTTTGATCACGGCCGTGGTGGTCTCATTTTTCTGTAGGCAAAACGCTAGGGTCCCGTGTGCTGTGCGATGTCAGCGTACGTCAAAGGAAAAAAGCAGATCGTCGAAATTTCCCGAGCCATCCACCAGGGCTGTTCTCGCAGTCATATCATGGTTTTGGCGTGTGCAGCACGAACAAATAGTATTAATATTACTATTGAAAGAAGAGGAAGTACTCCGACCCAGAGGCAGCACCATCGAGCGTGCAGCAGAGGCTCGAGCTCGTGAACTGTGGCTGATGCATCGCCTCACTAGCAACAACCTTTCCGCTCAATAAATCTCCTTTATCTTTGGTGGAGGTACGGGGTACCGTCCTCTATACCTTCTCGCTATCATCCTGGAACTACGTTCTCGGCGGGTAGCTTCTGCAATGCCGGACGCCGATTAGCAGACGCTTCCATCTCTTCTGGCCGCCTGTTCAGGCAGTGTTTCATAGCGGGAGCCACCAATAGTCGGCGGAACAGATGGCAACGACGTTGAAAATTGGCTCTAGACTTTCGAACGGGTGAGCGCTTTGAACAGATGGACGTACGCGGACAAGTTCACACGCGTGCCGTTCTACCTTGCGGATGTAGACAACCTTTCGCTTAGTAAACACAAGAGAGACGTTCAAACGTAGCCGCAATTAAAAACTTCGATATTATCAGTCTTCGGTCGAGCTGCCGTCCGAAAACTTTAAGCCGAGCAGCGCTTACGCGTGCGCGCACAAGAAAGGGGTGAGACCTTCACAAATTACATAGATGTCATCGACTTGTGCAGACGCGTGAATGCCAATGATGGAAGCTGAAAAATGTAAGCACATCGTAAAAGAAATTGACAACGACGCTTTTCAAATCCTCTTGGCAAAAAGCCCGACCAGAGTTAACGACGTAGTTAGCTTGTACCAAAGCTACAACGAATTGCAGAAGCAGCGAGCTCTGACAAGGCGTCTTACAGCGCACGTTTCGGCATCACTGTCTAGTGTGACCAATGGTCATGACCAAGCATCGCTAATAGCCGAAATAAAAGCATTTGACTGCGAAGAAGTCGCACGACAGCTTTCCTTGGTTCCCTACACGCCAGAACCTACCACAACTTTACCGTCATCTCTCGGTGGCGTCATTCAAAGAGAGGTTGCCGAGGTCCTACCAGCTGCCCGTGAGCATATTCTTGTGGCTGCCCCACTCACCTACACCGTGGCTGCAGCTGTGCCAACTCGCACGGCGCCTGCACCTGCATTCCAGCCTCAAGCGAGCTATCCCTCACCCCCAGTCCACTTGACAATCGCTAACACCGCCAACCCGTAGCGCACCCTTTACAATCGCCCAATATCTAACGTATGTCGATACCCCGGACAGGTACTAAGGTATTGCCGCCACAGGATGCATATTACCGATAAAAACCGCCGTGAGCCCTTCTTCCCACTTGATCCAACGCGCATTGCGCTTCCTCCACTCCGATGCCTTCCCACTACCAGGATGACCGCCGCCCTCGGTTGGGACGTCTTTGGTCGCCCTCTGCATGCCGCCGCTCACCTTCTCCCATGTGTCGATGGCCCGCGCCTAACGAGAAGAAAAACTAGATGACGCCGTTCCTAAAGCCAGAACTGCGCAAGTTGTGGTCTGCCCAACTCCTCATTTGTCTCCTACAAGTCTCACTGATGTGTTCGTCAAAAATATCCCTCCTGTCGCTTTTGTAGATGCCGGTGCAGCTGTTTCTAGTATTCATAATAGATTTTGCGCTCAATTCGAAAGATTACGAAGCCTTTCTCCAGATTATCGCTTCGCACAGCAAGTGCTCAACCTGTTCAACCAACCGCAGTGTGATCAGCCTGTGAGATATTTCAGGACATTCTGTGTACGATAGAGTTCATCGTTCTTCCATCGTGCTTCCATACCCTTATCTTGGGGTGGGACTTTTTGTCGTGTCATAATGCTGTACTCGACTTTGCTCAAGCTGAGGTTTAACTTTGCCCACTGTATGACCGAGCGTTTGTCGACACCCAGTCTGCCGCTAAACTTGTCATTAAAGAAGACAACTACATCCTTTGATGCACTTTTGCGTTCGTACCAGTTTTATGCAGCGTCATATACGACGGCACGTCTTCTTTACACCATCTCTAATATTCGTCGCCCGAAGAGCCCTCCCACTGCCTTTTTTGCCGCTCTCGACCGTGTAGAATGCTCAACCACAATGGCAGTTTAAAATCAAGAGTCATCACATTAGTTCCCACTTTTTCACTAATGCCTTCACCACGTCGAGACGATCAGTTCTACTAGAGTTATATCCGTCCCCGATGAGGTGCCTTCTACCTCTGCCTGTGAACTGGTTGTCATCTCCGCGGCTGACCCAACGTTGGCAAACATATTTCAACCATTCATCGGTGAAGATTTGACATTTTCGCAGCGTTCACAGCTTCTCACCGTCCTTGGGTGCTACCGCCATTCTTTCGACGTTGCACAAATATCTCTCGGCCGCGCCTTAGCAGTAGAACACTAAATCAACACTGGGTCCTACTCACAGCTGCGACAATGACCACATCGCGTGTCCGCTAAGAAACGACAAGTCATTGCTGACCAAGTAGAAGAGAAGCTTCACAGAGGCGCTATTTGACCTTCACAGAACGTATGGGCGTCTCCGGTCGTCCTCGTCAAAAACAAAGACGGTTCTGTTCGTTTCTGCGTCGATTTGCGCTGATTGAACAAGATCACGCTGAAGGATGTCTATCCATTGTCGCGCGTTGACGATGCTTTGAACTGTTTACAGGGTGCCGAGTTTTTTCTTTGTTAGAATTGCAGTCAGGCTACTGGCAGGTGCCGATGGTGGATTACCATCCGATTTTGAGCCGATTACCCCAAAACCGCTTTTTTTACGCCAGGTGGCTGACATGAATTCACCGTCATGCCTTCCGGACTTTGCAACGCGCCTGCAATGTTCGTACGAATGATGGACAACATCCAGCGTAAACTTAAATGAAAAATCTGCTTGTGTTACCTCAATGATAACGTGGTCGTCGCCCCAACTTCGACACACACTTACGTCGCCTTCAGCACGTCCTTACTTGCTTCACCAGTGATGGTTTGCAAATAAACCTTCAAAATGTCAATATGCCATGCGTCAACTGATCATTTCGGGCCACTATGTTTCCAAGGAAGGCATTCTCCCGAATCCCGAAAACTTTCGCGCTGTTACGGCGTTTTCCAAAGCTGCCAACAGCGAAGAACTTCGGAGTTTTATTGGCTTATGTGCGTGATTTCGGCGATTCATCCAAAGCTTTGCGTCTATTTATTCACCTCTCACGCAATTCCTCGGCAACTGCAAAGACCTCTCATCGTGCTCCCCTGCCTGCGACGAGGCTTTCATCACCTTGCGCCGGTTTCTCACGACGCCACCCATTCTACGCTATTTCGATCCTGAAGCACCGACTGAAATGCCCGCTGACGCCAGTAGTGTAGGCCTTGGGGCTGTGCTCACACAACGTAAACTGAAGCATACGAAATACGTCGTGGCATACGCTAGTCGCACACTCGCCAAGGCAAGAGAGCAACTACAGCGTCACGGAAAAGGAGTGTTTAGCCATTGTGCGGGCCCTTGAAAAGTTTCGCCCAAATCTATATGGCCGTTCTTTTGACGTCTTGACCGACGACCTTGTGCTGTGCTGGCTCTCGACGTTAAAATACCCATCTAGCTGCCTTGCTTGCTTGGCGTACGGATGGCAGCATGCGTAGAACGGAAGCATGCTGACGCCGACGTCCTTCACGTTCTGCTCTTTCTCAGAATGCCACAGCTGAATCCACTTGCGATCCCACATTGTAAAATCTTGACTTCAACACCATTGCTATTGAACAACGCAATAACCCGTAGACTGCGTCACTTCCCAATCAAATCTCCGACACTTCTAAAATACTAAAGACGCGAACTCTCCAGCGCCAGGTTCCACACTTCTCGATACGTGACACACTTCTCTATCGACGCAATTACGCACCAGCGGGACGCAAGTGGCTGCCCATCGTTCCACGAAACTTTAGGTCACATATCAGTTTCTCTGTCCACGCTGACGCACAATGTGGCCACGCAGAAGTCTGTCTTCAAGACCTAAAAAAGGCTTCGACATTATTACTACTAGAGTCGTCTTTATACCTTCGTCCGCAACCTCGTCCGCTTTTGTGCCGAATGTGAGCGCCGAAATTCTGCACCGCAAGCCTGCGCTGGTGAACTTCAGCATTTACCATGCCCTTCCCGACGCTTGGAACGTGTCGAAATAGATCTTTATGTGCCCCTTCCATCGACTCCAAATGGCCAAAGGTAGATAATAGTTACTATCGACCACCTAACGCGCTACGCTGAGAACGCCGCTTTCCAAACAGTTACAGCACAGGAGGTCACCACTTTTCTACTGCGTCGTTTTGTGCTGAGCCATAGAGTTCCTCAAGAACTCCTCAG